GTCTTCAGCAGCCCATGCTTGTCTTGATAGGCGATTATCAGGATTGGGTGGTCAGGCTCCCTGACTTGCTAATTTATTTCCCAATTGCCAAATGCTTACTTTTGACGGCTGGGCCACCCGTGCCCCCCGACACCCCCAGAACAGGCCAATTTCTTGCGGCAGTTACTATGTTTTACGACGTTGGTACAAACAAACCATTTGAGGATTCGAACATGGTCTAGGTCTGAAATGGATTTAAAACACTCTGATTCACTCTGGCACGCTCAATTTCGGAGCGGTGACGTCCTGCAAACGGTGGCTATCTTTTGACTGAGTTGGTACAAGCAAACCCTTTGTGGATTCGAACATGAGGATTCGAGGTCGTAGATAGGTTTAGAACAGCCTTTGACACACGGCACATTCGAATGTCATAGCGGCAATGTCCGCAACCGCTGCCTACATTTGACGGAGTTGGTACAAGCAAACCAGTTTAGGATTAAAACATGGTCGAAGTCAGAAATGGGTTTAGAAGATAAAGGGTATACCCCAGAGCCATCAATTTCGTAGCGGCGATGTCCCGCAAGCGCTGCTTAAATAAGACGCGTTGGTACAAGCAAACCATATAAGGATTCAAACATGGTCGAGGTAGGAAATGAGTTAAGTAGCCCTCTGACACTCCGGCACACGCCAATTTCGTAGCGGCAATGTTCTGCAAGCGGTGTCTGTCTTTTGACGGCGTTGGTACAAGCAAACCATTTGAGAATTCGAACATGATCGATGTAGGAAATTGGTTAAAACACTATGGGACACCCAGGCACATGTCAATTTCGTTGTGGTGATGTCTCACAAGCAGTTCCTTACATTTGACGGCGTTGTTACAAGCAAACCATTTGAGGATTCGAACATGGTCAAAGTCAATCGTGAGTTAAAAACTCACTGGGACACATGTGGTGATGTCTCGCAAGCGGTTCCTTGCATGTGACGGCGTTGGTACAAGCAAACCATTTGCGGATTCGAACATGGACGGCGTCTGAAATGGGTGTAGAACATCCCGGGACGTTCTGGGACACGTCAATGTCGTAGAGGCTATGTCTTGCAAGCGTTTCCTTACTTTTGACGGCATCGGTACAACCAAACCAATTGGGGATTCGAACATGGACGAGGTCGGAAACAGGTTCAGCACTTTATCTATGCAATTCGACAGAAACCCGGGGTCCTGGCCAAGTCAGAACACTAATCCGTTTGACTGTAGCTCAATGGACAAGGGAGCTACGCTCCCGGACTATTTGACCCCCTGCCACCCGGCCTGCCACCCGGCCTGCCACCCGGCCTGTCACCCGACCTGTCACCCTGCCACAAGCTGCCGTACAACAGACCTCTGAATAGCAGACCTTTAAACACTTGTAACTCGGAAACTACTAGTCCGAATTTGACCAACTTTTGTGTGTGTATGTAGAGTGGGATCGTAGAGGCGATGTCTTGCAAGCGTTTCCTTACTTTGGGCGGCATCGGTACAACCAAACCAATTGGGGATTCGAACATGGACGAGGTCGGAAACAGGTTCAGCACTTTATCTATGCAATTCGACAGAAACCCGGGGTCCTGGCCAAGTCAGAACACTAATCCGTTTGACTGTAGCTCAATGGACAAGGGAGCTACGCTCCCGGACTATTTGACCCCCTGCCACCCGGCCTGCCACCCGGCCTGCCACCCTGCCTGTCACCCTGCTACAAGCTTCCGTACAACAGACCTCTGAATAGCAGACCTTTAAACACTTGTAACTCGGAAACTACTAGTCCGATTTCGACCAGATTTTGTGTGTGTATGTAGAGTGGGATCGTCTAGATAATTATTGTAATCATATTGTCCTATTGTAATCTTTCGATTTATTATTAGGGCTCTATGCCCTGAGACACCCTTGTACACGTCAATTACGTAGCGGCGTCTTTCTTTGACGGCATTGGTATAAAGAATCCATTTGAAGATTCGAATATGAGCAAGGACTGGAATGGGTAGAGAACAACAAAGAAAACCATTTGCGGATTCGAACATGGACGGCGTCTGAAATGGGTGTAGAACATCCCGGGACGTTCTGGGACACGTCAATGTCGTAGAGGCTATGTCTTGCAAGCGTTTCCTTACTTTGAACGGCATCGGTACAACCAAACCAATTGGGGATTCGAACATGGACGAGGTCGGAAACAGGTTCAGCACTTTATCTATGCAATTCGACAGAAACCCGGGGTCCTGGCCAAGTCAGAACACTAATCCGTTTGACTGTAGCTCAATGGACAAGGGAGCTACGCTCCCGGACTATTTGACCCCCTGCCACCCGGCCTGCCACCCGGCCACAAGCTGCCGTACAGCAGACCTCTGAATAGCAGACCTTTGAACACTTGTAACTCGGAAACTACTAGTCCGATTTCGACCAGATTTTGTGTGTGTATGTAGAGTGGGATCGTCTAGATAATTATTGTAATCATATTGTCCTATTGTAATCTTTCGATTTATTATTAGGGCTCTATGCCCTGAGACACCCTTGTACACGTCAATTACGTAGCGGCGTCTTTATTTGACGGCATTGGTATAAAGAATCCATTTGAAGATTCGAATATGAGCAAGGACTGGAATGGGTAGAGAACAACCAAGAAAGCTCTGGCTCCCGCCAATTTTGTCAAAACGGACTAATGGCATATGAGGTGAGGTGAAATGGGGTTTAACGTCGCGTCCAAGATTATTGCACTTATAGAGCGACGTGCATGCACGTGTATGTGTGTGTTGCTGCTTGTACTAGTCCGGACTGATGCCCATTTATAGTGCTAGCACACTGAGATGCCATGCCGCAGTTTAACATGAATTCCCACTCAGACACAGTATACCGACTCCGAGCCGACCAGTCCTTGTTTTTGTCCCTTAATGCCGAGCGCCAGACAGGGTAACAACAAGTACCATCTTTTCCGAACCCCGGACCTTCCGCTCTCCGGGCGGACGCTCTACCATTAGACCACGGAGGCGGTTTAAGAAATAAGAACAGTCATCTGATGGGATATCGCGTTTTCATTTTCAAATTTTCAAACTCGTCATAAACGCGATCGGACCAAAAATAAGTGGGCTTGATGTGGCAAGGGTAGAAACAAGGCTTTGATATAGGCTATTAAACACGCTTGCCTCAAGAAGATGGGCATGGACAAGATCGTATTTGGGTTTCCGGTTTCGACAATTGGGCATGCTGTGTATTTTACCAAATATACCTATCTTTAAAAGGGGCACTGGGTATTAAATTTTGAAGTTGGATGTTTTCATTATATAGTACTTAATATATTTCATGACAATAAAAGTTGCATAATGCTTATTCGTGCAATTAGGCATGTGTATAAGCTATCGTTTTCACGATTCTCTTCTTTGCGTTATGTTATTGTCATGATGCGAGTTGGGTAAGCATAGATAACACGAGGATCTGGTATCTAATCGTCAAAATTCGCCATTTTAAGGAATAGACAACAGATCCGAAGGTCTAAGCAAGTCCCAGTTTTCTAACCAATTTAAACCATGTCCAGCATTTACAGTACCTAAACTTCTTTAAAAAAACATTGTTTTGTTAAAAGAACTTTGAAAGCTATTCAGAAACTCTTTGCTTTACTGTGAGAACACCGAGTTGTCCCTGTGTGATGCACGTGAAATATGTTCCCCGAGCTTTTTGCACGTGCACCTCGGACTTTGCAGATTCGGATTATGTAATGCATGGTCCGGGACAACTATACCATTCATTTTAGATCAACTCGAGCAAATTTATCAATCACCTGAATATTACTTGCTCATGTCGATGGGCTTATTTTGAGAACATAGCCCTAGTCAAGATAATAGTAATATCTTTCTATGTGTTTTTGTCTTTGAGCGAAAAGCTACACAAGTACATACAAATAATATAATGCATATAGTAATATACTGTATAACAACTGCATAAAACACACATTTCACAGATCATACACGGATAAACAATTATTCCTGATGTAAGTAAAAATTTAATTGGTAATTTGATATAATTTCTCCTTTGTCGCCGTAGCAGAAGACTGCATTCGCTAAACTTCGGTGCAAATCCTGCTGGCAAAACACGTTTTTCATTAAATTGTTCTATCGTCAAGATAAATGATAAGGAAAAAAGAAGTTCCATCACTCCTAAGTGGTATTTAACTAACAATCAGAGCACGGTGAAAGACAAAGGAGCCCTGGTTTAATTAATAGCTATTTACTACGCTTTGTCCGCAACCTACAATACAGGTTCTATTCTCGCGTCCATCTTTACCCAAGTTGTTTCTTTGTTGTTAAACGCCGCATCTAGCAATATTCAAGCTATATGGGAGGAGTCTGCAAACATTCCTGTATTGACCATTCAATTATGTGATTGTCATGAACTGCGAACAATGCAGTTGTGACGCCATAACATATATATAAAACAAGGCAGTGAGTCTGACAACCCTTCCGGAATCTGGTGGTCAGGCTCGCTGACTGGTTAATTGGTTTTTTATCGTATCCCAATGGCGTAGATGGATGCTCATGATGTCATTCACTGGTTTGCATGTACCAGATTTGATCATTTACAGATAGCCGTCTTATGGCGGGAGTGCGGCATTATACAAGAATGATAGGTTACTAAATTCTAATCTGGATCTTCATGGTGATAAAAAGAAGTTCAACAGACCCACAAACAAATTTCACCACTTTGACTATAGATACAGAAATAAAGCTTTAAAATGTCAACGAGGGTTCAATTACTAATGTTACATGTCCACTCCTAACAATGAGTGAGTATTGTTTTAAACCCCTTTCAGAAATATTCCAGCAATATCATGGCGGGTGACACCAGAAATGGGTTTCACACATTGTACCCAAGTGGAGTATCAACCCGGGCCTTCAAAGTGACGAGTGAACGCTTTAACCACTAGGCTACCTCTTCGCCCTCATTCCTTTTTAGGTATCGATATAACCACAATGTCATAATTAACTTCTTTTCCACAATTTTGCATTCGTATCAGAAAACCGATATGAAGTCTTTTGTAAAGCAATAATATGACACAGTTCATGCGTGTCAATTTATGATCTATACATTGTAGCAACCTAAAGACATAAAATGAAGTATACCACAAAATCATCTCTCCCGATCCATTCCTCATACCCGTTTAGAAGACCGGGCGGTGAGAAAAGAAATCATTTCATTGGCTGACTTTTCAGAAGACATTTCATTGGTTGACCTTTTAGAAAAAACATTTCATTGGCTGCATTTGTTAACATTACGCTTGACACAATCTAATAGCATCACTTTCCTTCATGTAATAATTATGGAAACAGCTCTTCAGACGACGCCTCAGAAGGTATGGTTTTTCGCTAACATGGAATTCGAATAGTTGAATTATTTTAGCATGATGGTTCAAAGAGAATACGAAAACGATTGTGATATCACCCAGTTTGTTACAGTAAATCACGCGTCACCCTATTCATATTCATGGGAGCCTCAACATGAAGCGTAAATGTAATTACGTCCCTTGGCAGTTAGAAACGTGGTCACGACTCTCTTACGACAAAAAAAATTCAAATCCATAAAAATCTCAAACATCTTCCGACCCAGTCACTACATTTTGCCATATTCTACGAATATAGCCATTAATTGACAATATTATTGCAGACGCTTCGGATAAAAATAATATATTTTTGGAGAAAATTAACTTTGAAGAATGACAAGCTTTGATACATTAAACACGTTATGCAGACGCTGTTTTGACTCGTATCAACTGTAACGTATCCGTTATTGAATCATGTGGCCCAACCGGATTCAAAAGGATAAAATAAATAGCTAATGAAACTTCTAAAACATGTTTGCTTAGGGAACAATGGTCAAAATGTTTACAAGAGACTTTTACACATTACGAAAAGTCTAACCCCCCCCCCCCCCCCCCCCCCCAACTCTTTCCCCCCCCCCAACTCTCCCCACCCCCCCAACTCTCCCCACCCCCCCACCCCCCACACACACACGAAAATATTACCAAAAGCGGCGTAATACCATAATAAATAAAACACATCCGGACTTAAAGTAAAATGTCTTCAATCATACTGTTTGAATACCGTATCTAGGGTATATATTTTTCGATGCAAAACATAAGTAAAGTCGGAAATTATTTTTTAAGTATTTGAAATCATACGCGCATTCTTATTGGTTTGTTGTATTTTCGCACATAACATTCCCATTCATGCATTTTATAATCCGGGTCGGTAAAGTCCAAAATTCACGTGCATTAAGCTCGGGGAACATATTTCACGTGCATCACACAGGGACAACTCGGTGTTCTCACAGAAAAGCACAGTCTTTCATAGTTCTTTTAACAAAACAATGGGTTTTTTTAAAAGAAATTTAAGTACTACAAATGTTGGACATGGTTTAAATTGGTTAGAAAACGGGGACCTCAGTGTCTAATGGTTGAAATTATTCGTCTTCGTCTTGGCCTCAACGTAACCATTTCAACGATTAGACGGGGCGGTTGGGTTTCCTTGTGGTTAAAGTGAGTTGGGTTTAACGCCGCTTTTAGCAGCATTCCAGTTATATCGCGGCGTGTCAGCTTAATGTGGGAGGCAACCCTTGTGGTGAGGTGATAAAATAAATAGCTAATGAAACTTCTAAAACATGTTTGCTTAGGGAACAATGGTCAAAATGTTTACAAGAGACTTTTACACATTACGAAAAGTCTACGGTTTTCAAAAGAAATGACATAGACGAAAGTGTTGCCTACAAACCGATAACTCCTAAAATACAAATCGAAGCTCAAACGGGCATAAGTAAAAGTATTGTCAATTGTAACGATTAACGAATAATTGCACCATGTCATATATCGTCCAGATACTACATAAAACGCATTAGGGGCTCGGGGGTAGCCTAGTGCCTAAAGCATCATGCAGAAGGCCTGGGTTCGAACCCCCTACATGTGTATAATGCCTCTTTCCCCCCCCCCCCCCCCCCCCGCGGCGTGTCAGCTTAATGTGGGAGGCAACCCCCCTTGTGGTGAGGTGAAATGGGGTTTAACGTCGCGTCCAAGATTATTGCACTTATATAGCGACGTGCATGCACGTGTATGTGTGTGTTGCTGCTTGTACTAGTCCGGACTGATGCCCATTTATAGTGCTAGCACACTGAGATGCCATGCCGCAGTTTAACATGAATATCCCACTCAGACACAGTATACCGACTCCGAGCCGACCAGTCCTTGTTTTTGCCCCTTAATGCCGAGCGCCAGACAGGGTAACAACAAGTACCATCTTTTCCGAACCCCGGACCTTCCGCTCTCCGGGCGGACGCTCTACCATTAGATCACGGAGGCGTTTTAAGAAATAAGAACAGTCACCTGATGGGATATCGCGTTTTCTTTTTCAAATTTTCAAACTCGTGATATACGCGATCGGACCAAAAATAAGTGGGCTTGATGTGGCAAGGGTAGTCTGTCTTACAGACCCTGATACAAATATATATCAAATACAGCCCATGCAAGTCTGTTTGGCAAGTCTAGATCACTGCAGTATCTGAAAACGAAGAGTCACTGGGCTCCTTTTTATTATATTTTTATTAAGATAACTGAACAACTGTTTTTTTCTGTACGATATGTTCATTTCAGAGACTAGATGTTAGTCTATGGCAAGGGTAGAATATAGGCTATTATACACGCTTGCCTCAAGAAGATGGGCATGGACAAGATCGTATTTGGGTTTCCGGTTTCGACAATTGGGCATGCTGTGTATTTTACCAAATATACCTATCTCCAAAAGGGGCACTGGGTATTATATTTAATACATTGAAGTTGGGTGTTTTCATTATATAGTACTTAATATATTTCATGACAATAAAAGTTGCATAATGCTTATTCGTGCAATTAGGCGTGTATATAAGCTATCGTTTTCACGATTCTCTTCTTTGCGTTATGTTATTGTCATGATGCGAGTTGGCTAAGCATAGATAACACGAGGATCTGGTATCTAATCGTCAAAATGGAGACCTTGAATCCGAGGGGCGTTCTCAAGTTAACCATTTTAAGGAATAGACAACAGATCCGAAGGTCTAAGCAAGTCCCAGTTTTCTAACCAATTTAAATCATGTCCAGCATTTACAGAACCTAAACCAGAAAAAAACCATTGTTTTGTTAAAAGAACTTTGAAAGCTATTCAGAAACTCTTTGCTTTACTGTGAGAACACTGAGTTGTCCCTGTGTGATGCACGTGAAATATGTTCCCCGAGCTTTTTGCACGTGCACCTCGGACTTTGCAGATTCGGATTATGTAATGCATGGTCCGGGACAACTATACCATTCATTTTAGATCAACTCGAGCAAATTTATCAATCACCTGAATATTACTTGCTCATGTCGATGGGCTTATTTTGAGAACATAGCCCTAGTCAAGATAATAGTAATATCTTTCTATGTGTTTTTGTCTTTGAGCGAAAAGCTACACAAGTACATACAAATAATATAATGCATACATTAATATACTGTATAACAACTGCATAAAATGAATACGGTCTCTGTATTGCTTTCCCCCATGGTTTTATTAATGTTTAAATCTGCAGTGATCTGGTTGTAGAGACACATGTCACGTAGATGCCAAATCAATAAATAAAACTTTGTCAACATCTACAACCACATGAGAATTCGAAAAGAAATGGTATAAAATGTTCTGAAAACTTCAACAATAAATTGTCTTGCTCTCACTTTTATATCTTTATTCAGTATCTGTATCGGAAATTGTACTTTTTCTTCTTCTAAATGTTAGCTCCTCATTCTTATGTTAAAAGCAAGCTTCGAAAAAAACCTATAATACTCTGAAATTAATTACCTTTATCATTATCTACCCTTATTAATATTGTATTGGTTGTGATCTGTAAATTAATACACCTTTGCTACACGTATAATAAGTGTATTTACTGTCCTACTGTTCATATTTCTTTGTTGAATATACAAAATAAATATTAGACACCAAGTCGGCGACAAATCACAACTGAAACTTCAAAATTCAAATTACACTTACATTCTTTATACAGTTGACTTGTTTCACTGAACATAGGCAATTGCAATTATCATTTAAAACAATTGACATTAATTGAAACGTATTGATTATATAGACATACTGATGAAAATAAGTTTTCCTATTAGTATTCTTAAGTTTCAAGGGCGACACGGGTGGCCAAGTCGTCTGAGGCGCCGCAATTCGCTATGCAGAGTTGCGTCCCTTGGACACGCCAGAAACTTATGATTGTGGGTTCGAATCCCTGTTCACCCCGACTGTTTCTAGGTTTGTCAGCGCCATACCCGTGCCCGTGGGTTTCACCGAAGTGGTAAACGTTTCAGATCTCCATCACTTCGGGCTTTCCTCCCACATGAACTGACACGCCGTGATATAACTGAAATATGTATTGTTAAAAGTGGCATTACACCCAACATAATCGCTCATACGTAATACTCTACGATCAAAAGAAATTAAATTTGTCATTGTAATTGTTACATTCCCAGCAAGGACAAAATGTCCATTTCTTCCTGGTCACCTCCCCGAAAAAGAAAAATGGGCGCTACGGAAATTATCAAGATGCTGATGTGGTTGTCAGGGAGACACCAGATCGGATCTCCAGGGTCCTCATGTCGGACGACTTAAAAAATATCCCCAGGGCGGGAACGTTCAACATGGGAACAGATGCCACTGTTGCCGATGACGGCACAGTCAGGTTTTCTAGGAAGACTCGAGTAAGTAAATTGTTTGTGACAATGTTAAAGTAAGATTATCAATTCTCATTAAACTTCTATCACACACAATATACAAAGCTACTCATAGATTGTAATAAGCGACAAAGCCTTTCCATATTCATGGCAAATATCTGCCAAAATCAGTCCATTGTCAAATTGTCATGTATTGTGCTAAGATCTGCTAAGCAGTGTTTGTTTCTTTTCAAAAAATGCACGCAACTGATTCTATATCTCATAACAATTCATATCTTAAACATTTCTTAGTTTCATAGAATATTGCTGAAACATGACAGCTGTCTGTATATAAGGCGATGTGCACTAGATATTCCACTGATTGGCATCATAGTTATCACTGGTGGCTATTGATTGAAGTGAAATATTGTAATACACAACCTGGCATGTCGCCATTTTTGTACCCAATGTCATTTAGAAAGTGGTCAAATGTAACTATTGTTATATTTCGGATAACACTTTTCTTAGTAAAGCACAATTTACACTTGTCAGGGGGGGTACTCAAAGTACGTGATCTAGACTACCAGTTGTCGGACTTTCATTTTGTGGAAGCCTCGGTGGCTGAGTGGGTTAGATCGCTGACTTTGTGTTGCTGTCGATTAGGTGCCTAATCATGGCAGGTGTGGGTTCGAATCCCGGACGGGACTCAACCCCCAAAAATTACTAGAATCTGTACTTTACTAAGAAAGTGTTATCCCAAATATAATATAAGTTACATTTTTGTACCCGTACATTCAAATATACATAACGGAAAACAAAACCTCATATGACCGCTGGTGCCATCAACTCGCATCACAAATTCCAGTAAAAAATAGATTTGATCCCACTTTTCTATTGAATTTACAATTTCCTGATATAATCCAAAACATACTGATGTAGAAAAGATATTGTGTGAAAGTAGAAATTCTTACATCTAGAGGACACATCATGATCATACTATTGAATTCAAAGCCATTGAAGCTGGCCTAAATACCCCAGGATATCAAACACACATTGCATCTTATGTTTGCTCATTTTTTATACAATAAGACAGGGTTTTATAGGATGAAAGTTTATATACAATAGAATAGTTCAATAATTTGCATCCTCTAAAGTCCTATCTGTCGTACATTGGTGTCCGATGTTTTCACTCGTGTGTGTATATAGATATATAAATATATAGATATAATCATATGATATAATTATAGACTCATAATTGCAGATTCTATCAAGCCGAAAATTCGACTACAATTTAAAGGTCGTAACTTCCTTCCTCGAACCACCCATCTTTACGGTGTCTGAATGCAAGTCCGAGCCAGTTGGCTCTCGGGTCACTACACGAGCAAGAGTGATCCAGGTCTGTCTGATTACAAAATAATTAACATATTTCTTGCTCATGTATCCTAATGTACAATTGCTATTCCTAGAAGCAAACATACCCCCCATCGTCAACAAATCAATTACCCCCGCAAAAGTAAAGAAAACACTGCGGCTATGATCATGTTTCTGAAAGACTGCATTTTAATCTAAGATTATATTCCTTTGAAGGTAATTCCTCAAAGGCACTCGACCTTGAAAACGGTTATACTCGGACAGGATGATCCTGATGAACAAATACAGCTCAAACTGTGGAGGCGCGCAACCGAGCTTGCAACACCACCGGGGTCTTTGATACTCCTAAAACATTTGGTCATTGGCCAGTTTAGGGGTATCAAAGACCTCAATTCAACCGATCAAACAACAATCCAGGTTTGTTTACATATTGAACAACTGATTGCTTTAAAGACAAAGTCAACGCCATCTAAAAAAAACTACAAAGAAGTCTCGTACATAAAACAATTTTTCAAAAGTTTCTTTGAAATACTTTTGGAACAGACATAACATAATTGCAAGTTAAAACACAATTTAAAAAAATGAAAATACTGACGCACCGTGTTCATTGTAGATTCAACCCGAAGAGATAACGACTGTTTGGGGTGAAATTGAGGCCATGGGCTTCGAGGAGTAAGTATACCTGAAATTGTCATGACATGATACCCATGCTTCACGTAACATTTATGTGTGAATGCTATCGCTATCGGACCTTGTACATGTTCAATTAGCAAGTTACCGACGAAATGTATGTAAGTAAACAGCTTGGTACACAATCCATTCATGGGTGAATAGTGTAATTTAAATCGGATCGACATACGTTTCTGTCAAAGTTGTACTACATTTACATATGTTCTCAAACCACAAGTTATGCCTGTAATCCGAAAGTACTTGTCACATTATTTCTACACACTTGCAAAATATCCCTTCCAAAGTATACTACATTTGGCCAGCATTTTCCCCAAAGTAAAAGTGATCCTGTTTAACTGAAAGTGCAAACTATTCAAAATTAAAATTACTACCACATTAAAGGTTATACGTCAAGCGGTGTTCATATTTTGATATGGCTCAATACAATATCATGTTAAGATCATCGTCTCTTGCTCTCAATAGATTGCTCAGGGAAAATTGTTCCACTCTTTAGTAATGGCATAGCCATGTTCCCGTGGAGTTGTCGGAAGGACAGGGTGTCATGAGGGGGTCATCTCCAAACCGCGTTCCACATGTGTTCAATAGGGTTGAAAGTCTGGTGACCTCTGTCCGTTGATGGTCCTATTTTGTACCGATATATCGCAATCTCTATTTGTTGAAAGAATGTGTTTTGATATTAAACTTGATCCTCAGCAAGCTTTGAATATATGTATAGATAAGGCTTTTGAAATTTCTTTTGACTTTTACTGCATCAGACACGTCTCTTCCTTAAACCACTGCACTGTGGGTTTATATCCTCAACTCAGAAATGATATTTCACCATCACCATATACCATTATGTCTTCCCTGAATACACCAGAAATGCGTACTGCTTTGTTGTCATGTTTACACTAACTTCAACAACGTTATTATGAACATAGTTGAACACATCAATGTATTTCTGTCGCATATTCTGAACCGGTGTCACTTTAATAAATGAGGTATCTGGATAAATTTGGAAAAAAAAGGGAAGATAAAACTCATCTTTTCCAAATGTTACAAATACTTTACTTGTTCATTCATATTTACAAAACCAAGAAATCTTTATCAAATTATTACACCATCTGATTACAGACACAACGCAATGATCTTAATGAATGGGGCAACGTACCTGGGAAGTGCCGAACTCATCGGCAAGGCCTTTCCAAACAAACAGATGCCCGATGGGATCTTCCATCTGGAAGTTAGGGGGGGGGAGAATACTTTCAATGTAAGTATAATATTCGCATTTGAATGATTTTTATGAAATATTGCAATTAACTAGAAAGATGAAACAAATATCTAAATGCTGTGCTATAGCCTAAATAATAATCGGAACTGTTACGCATTCAGAAATGTTGAAATATGATTGTATTATCCAACATGTAAAAATCCTAATCCTACATCAAGTTTATCAAAATTGAAATGTCATTCACAACTAGTAACAGGATGTTATAGTGAGGCAATATTTATTTCAGTGTTGAAGGTCTGCCGGCGGCTGCGGGCGAGGGCGAGGGTTGGGGCGAGGGTCTGCCGGGGGGCGAGGGTCTGCCGGGGGGTGCGGGCGGGGGCGAGGGTCTGTCGGCGGGCGAGGGTCTGTCGGCGGGCGAGGGTCTGTCGGCGGGCGAGGGCGGGGGCGAGGGTCTGTCGGCCGGCGAGGGCGAAGGTCTGCCAAAAGATGACGCCCGGAGGCGACGAGCCTCGGCCCGAAGACGAGGGGACGATTCTGTGAAGAAGCGACGACCCGGACCCGAAATAAAATAAAATTACTGTGTTCTCAATTGTTTCAATTTGTTTATATGGCTGAGCTGTGCGATTGAAATGACCTTACAGCATGAACTTCCCGCAAGAGATAAACCTGACGTAATACGTCTTTACCACTTGTCTTCAACCCACGGCAAATGTCACTTGAGGTAACCAAGTCGAATATGGATGCAAATATTTCTCATGCGTCTAAGGAACCGACCGCTTGATATTGAGACGGGGGAAATGGGGACTGGGGGCTATGATTTTGTATCGAAATTTCTTTCAACTACAAAACTATTTTTTTTTTAAACTGAAGATGTATTTTCTAAAGAACATGTTGCAACAATGAAATTTGAGGCAGGCAATATCATTTTTGTTTTCAACAGTCTGAAGCATTGTTTTTCAAGACATTTTAGAACAGTTTCTCCCCGAACCACTTTCGCCCATCAAAATATCAAATGGTCAGTCCGCGCGACAACTCGGCATACGGACAGTTGCGTGGTTTATTTCATGATACATTGTTCATCGTGACGTCATTGTAGCAGGGGTGGTTCATTATGAAAAATGACAAGCTGCGGTTGTGTTTGTTGAGGTGACATTTATTCCATTATCAATCACAATTGATCAATCACCCTGTAATAAAATATATAACATTATATACTGTACATAGAATAGCATACGGCTGCATATTAATTATTTCCTAGTTTGAGCAGTCACAATAATCCATACATGCAACGCATACAGTTACACATCACTAGTTCGTTGTAGATAACTTATAATAAATACAATTTACCGAACTTTCAAATAGTAATACATATATTAAATGTCTCTTATCATAACTGAATATATCAGTTACACACCATATAGTTAGGAGAATACTAGTAGCCGTGTGGCGTCATAAATATATACTTATTATCTCTAAGATTAGGAATATATATAAAATGCTACCATGTTGTGTTAAATTATAACACATAGTTTATACATATAAATTCATTCATAAGTGAGTGATAAGATAAAGGATTTATACATACCCTGTGGGTGACACGGGGGTGTCTATAAACCCACATCATATAGGATTATGGCATTATGGCATTTCTGGAGATTCGCAACCACACGACCTCGTATATTGAAGTGTTTTAGGGGGGTTATCTTGCCGAGTTCGGATGTGTTCAGGGAGTCTATCAATAAAATACTGATAAGTGTTGCATATTGTACATAATATTGATATGTCATAAGAAAGAAACGACTCGTGACCTTTCTTTATGATCCAATAAAACGCTGCAGGGAGAAGGAACCACTGGGGGCTGCGCCCTTCAAGGATTATTCGCCAGACAGTGTTTATCTTAACGCCCGCTCGTCTATTTCTAAATGACATCTGCTGACATTACATATATTAACAGACCTATTTCAAATATTTAATAGGTTTGACTTCAGTTGATAATAAGCTTGTCTGGCATCTTAGTCATTTTTGCAGTACAATCGCACCAAAGACACTCAAAGAGGTGACGTTAAATTATGTACCAATTCCTTCCAAACAGCACAAATAACATAAATAATTGCACAGTAAATGACAGTAAATTCAGCCTTCAATATTTTCATTATCGCGTTATGACAAGTCTCTCAGTGACCTGGGTAGGATGATTCAAAACAAAATCCGAAATGTTAATTTTTATCGGTTCTCTAAAACTAACCTTAAAATGACCAATTTTGACATACGGCATCCGATACAATTCCATTTCGCCTCAACATCACATGATCATAAGGCCATGTTTTCTCATTACTCTTCGGACAAAAAATATTGCCAACATATGTTTCAAAATTCAAAACCTGTTGGATAACGAACTGCCACCACAGAACATGTAATAACAATACAATCAAAAGAACGACCTTGGACACTGTGTTTCGGGGATGTCCAAATTTGGTAGTGGCGATGTCCTGCAAACGGTGACTGTTTTGACAGCTTTGGTACAAGCACTTCCTTTGTGAATTCGAACATGTTCGAGGTCAAAAATTGGTTTAGAACTCCCTGGGACACCCCCGGAATACGCCAATTTCGTAGCGGCGATATGCCGCAAGCAGTTACTCACTTTTGATTACATTGGTACGAACAAACCATTTCAGGATTCGGATATGAACGATGACTGAAATGTTTTACGAACACCCAAGGATGCTTCGGCACCCAATATTTTATTTCGAACATGGTCGTTGTCGGTAATTGGTTAAAACACTATGGGACACCCAGGCACATGTCAATGTCGTTGTGGTGATGTCTCACAAGCAGTTCCTTACATTTGACGGCATTGGTACAAGCAAACCATTTGAGGATTCGAACATGGTCGATGTAGGAAATTGGTTAAAACACTATGGGACACCCAGGCACATGTCAATTTCGTTGTGGTGATGTCTCACAAGCAGTTCCTTACATTTGACGGCGTTGGTACAAGCAAACCATTTGAGGATTCGAACATGGTCGATGTAGGAAATTGGTTAAAACACTATGGGACACCCAGGCACATGTCAATTTCGTTGTGGTGATGTCTCACAAGCAGTTCCTTACATTTGACGGTGTTGTTACAAGCAAACCATTTGAGGATTCGAACATGGTCAAAGTCAAACGTGAGTTAAAAACTCATGGGAAACATGTGGTGATGTCTCGCAAGCGGTTCCTTGCATGTGACGGCGTTGGTACAAGCAAACCATATGCGGATTCGAACATGTACCGCGTCCGAAATTGGCGTAGAACATCCCGGGACGTTCTGGGACACGTCAATGTCGTAGAGGCGATGTCTTGGCGAAGCATTTCCTTACTTTTGACGGCATCGGTACAACCAAACCAATTGGGTATTCGAACATGGACGAGGTCGGAAACAGGTCCAGCACTCTTATCTAAGCAATGCGACAGAAACCCGGGGTCTTGGCGAAGTCAGAACACTAATTCGTTTGACTGTAGCTCAATGGACAAGGGAGCTATGCTCCCGGACTATTTGACCCCCTGCCATCCGGCCACCCTGCCACCCTGCCTGTCACCCATCCCAAGCTGCCGTACAGCAGACCTCTGAATAGCAGACCTTTGAACACTTGTAACTCGGAAACTACTGGTCCGATTTCCACCAAATTTCGTGTGTGTTTGAAGAGTGGGATCGCTTTGATAATTATTGTAATCATATTGTCCTATTGTAATCGTTCGATTTATTATTAGGGTTCTATGCCCTGGGACACCCTTGTACACGTCAATTACGTCTTTATTTGACGGCATTGGTACAAAGAATCCATTTTAGTATTCGAATATGAACAAGGACTGGAAATGGGTAGAGAACAACCAAGAAAGCTCTGGCTCCCGCCAATTTTGTCAAAAAGGACAAATGACTTATGAAGTAATAAATTACACTATAGCATACTCATGTGCAATGCATTTATGAAGTGGATTCAAATTGACTGGAACTTAATGATTTATTGGTATGAGGGGCGGTCGGGTAGCCTAGTGGTTAAATCTTTCGCTAGTCACGCCGAAAACCCGGGTTCGATTCCTGACATAGGTACAAGGTGTGAAGCCCATTTCTGGTGGCCCCCGCCGTGATATTGCTGGAATATTGCTAAAAGTGGCGTAAAACCATACTCACTCACTATTGGCATGAGATGTATTTTGCCCCATTGCTCTGAAACCGCTACTCCGATTACTTTCACACTCTACATGTGCCTGCTACTTTAGATGCTTGACAACTTTTGTTCTTTAACTTTGGCCACTGGCCACGTGGTTTGGCAGCCTTTTTGGATTTAGGGTTTTCACAGTGTGATTTGGGTACACAGGTCTTCAAAAGCATACGACTCTGAATCCACCACATGGAATGCTACCAAACTTTCTGAGATTTGTCTCTGTTACAGTGTTTTGGGGTACATGTCTTCAAAAGCATAGAACTCTGAATCCACTTAATAAAATGCTTCCAAACTTTTCACCGAAATTGTACTTTAACGATCATATCTTGTAAGGTTCTTTACAGACACTATTGAAAGTTTGCATGAAGTTAGTTTCACATATGTACCTCAATTTGTGTTCTATGTTGCATGCTAAAAGTAACACTGCTTGGTGGTAATATTTGATTTTTTATTTCAAAATACTGAGAATGAAGTTCTCGTAAAATCTAAGTAGGAGTATGTCCCTTTGACTGTCGACTACCCTTGAAGATGAGGGTTAGAATTGGTCTTCAGCATCTCATGCTTGTCTTCAGAGGCGATTATCGGGATCGGGTGGTCATGCTCCCTGACTTACTGCTTTATTTACCCAATTGCCAAATGCTACCGTACCTTACTTTTGATGGCATTGTTAAAGCAAATGATTATTGGATTTCTTGCTCGGAATTGGTTTAGAACACTCTAGCACACTCCAATTTTATAGTGGTGATTTCCTGCAAACGGTTAACTATCTTTTGACGGAGTTGGTACAAGCAAACCCTTTGAGGATTCGAACATGAGGATTCGACTCAGAGATGGTTTTAGAAAAGTTTTGGACACCCAGCACATGCAAATGTCACATAGGCGATGCAGTGCCTACATTTGACGGCGTTGATACAAGCAAACCATTTGAGGATTCGAACAAGGTGAAAGTCAATATGGGTTAGGAACTCACTCGGACACATTTGGTGATGTCTCGCAAGCGGTTTCTTACATTTGACGGCGTTGGTACAAGCAAACCATTTGAGGACTCGAACATGGTCGAAGTCAAACGTGGGTTAAAACTCTCTGGGACACATGTGGTGATGTCTCACAAGCAGTTCCTTACATTTGTCGGCGTTGGTACAAGCAAACCCTTTGAGGATTCGAACATTGTCGAAGTCAGAAATGACTTTAGAAGACCGGAACCACCAATTTCGTAGCGGCGATGTCCCTCAAGCGCTGCATACATTAGACGGCCTTGGATCAAGCAAACCATGTAAGGATTCGAACATGGTCGAGGTCGAAAATGGGTATATAGCACCCCCAGAACACACCCAGAACAGGCCAATTTCTTGCGGCGATATCCTGCCTGGCTGCGGCCTGAAGGTTATAATAGGCACAATATTTCAGT